CTATTTAAACGAGGGGGAAAATCCGTTACCTCAAAGAGACAAAAGGGTCCCCTTTATGCCATGGCAGTTTCTCATCTCCCGCCTCCAAGGGAGACTCCCACGTGTTTCTTATTCCCCTTTCAAAACGTCCCCCCACTTCTGGTATCCCATTTTTCTACACCCACCTCTGTGGTTACCTCTCCCATAGTCACTCCTGTATCTAATCCTTTTGCTGTCCTCGGCTCAGACGTCCCTACTTCAACGCCTGCCCTGATCTCGCTTCTTTGATTTTCTCTCACAAGCCTCAGTATCGACGAGACCTCGTACGACACCTCCTCCCAATCGTCCCTCTACTTCTAAAAAGTCAAAAAAAGGTCCGTTTAACACCCCCTACCCATCTTCCACCTCCTCATTTTACCCTCCCTGTCTGTCCCTGGTTCTCCCCCTTTCACTGGCTCAGTTACAAGTGTAGAGGTTCCCCCCTCCTCCTCGTACTGTACCTTCCTCCCCTGTTCCCTCCCAAGTTTCTTCCTCTTCTGCCACCTCCCAGGTTCCTGCCTGTTTCTGTCCCCTGCCACGCTTCTCCATTCCCTCCACCCTTTCGCCCCCCCCTCCCTTTGGGTACAGTCCAATACAGTTCCGGTCTTTATTTCACCTCCCCCTAACTTTCCAATATTGCCCTCCCATACGACGTCTCTGAATTCAGAACACTTGAAGCAATCCTGAATATATTGCAGAGATCAAACCATCAAGGGACACTGATCCACCTTCCGCTCTTTCTCTCTCCTCTGCTCCATCTGCGCAACTCCTTTCTTCACAGCGCACCCGTTCCTTTCGCTGCTTGAACGTTTTCCACTGCCTCCGCATGTGGACTTTTCTAACCCCTCTAGTCCGTGGGAACCCTTACCTGCGGATTTCGAGTATCTTTATCATTTCCAATCATGGCCTATTTACAGTGGAATATACGCGGCCTCAGGGGTAATCGGGGTGAACTTCAATTTACTTCCTCCCATTTTGCCCCTGTTGGTGTTTGCTTACAGGAACCAAAATTACACTCTGCTTTATTCCCCCCATCTCAGGCTAAAATTTATTGTATTCTTTAGATCCTTTTCCTGATGGGACCTTTAATGAAAGTGCCCTTCTTCTACGCACTGATATTCCGTACCATCAGCTATTTTTTCATACTTCGCTGCATTACATAGCACCCTATCCACTTACATAGGTGGGATACGCTCTGTTCTTTATATCTCTCTCCTTCTCGGCATTATCTATTCCGGATATTACCTTCCTTGTTTCGTCATTACCGCCACCGATTCTGTTACTTGGTGATTTTAATGCCCACAATTTTTCCCCGGGGGGGGGGGGGGGGGGGGTCTCACGTGATTCCCGTGGAATTCATTTAGAGGCTTTTCTTGCCACCCACCCCCTCCATGTTTTAAATACAGGTACTTCCCCACACCATTTTGATCCTCGAAATCGTACTCTCTCTTTCAAACGATCTCTCAGTCTGCTCTTCCTCCGCTGCATTAGACTTCACTTGGTCTGTTCTCCCCGGACTTACATGACAGTGATCATTTCCCAATCATTCTTACTTCCCCCCTTTATATTCGCCACCTCTTCGCACCCCACGCTGGCAATTTAATCTGGCAAATTGGAACCTTTACTCACACCTAACTGTTTTTTAAAGAGGGTTTCCCTTCCCTTCGTCCTCCATCGATGAGCTTTTACACCTCTTCTCGTCCTCCGTTCTCACCGCAGCTTCTCATTCTATACCCCAAACTTTGGGCAGGCATTCTCAGAAATGCGTGCCTTGGTGGTCCCTGCTTGTGCTCATGCAGACGTTTGAAACGCGCTGCATGGGGCAGGTACCGGTACAAATAAACCACAGAGAGACCCTTGTTTTAAACAGAAGCGTGCGATCGCTTTGCCGTGTCCATCCGTGACGCTAAACGCACTTGCTGGGGGAGATTGTCTCCACCATCACCTCTGCTTCCTCTATGAGTGCAGTCTGGAAAAAAGTACGAAAACGAGTGGTAAATATTCTCCTGACCCGGCTCCTGTTTCTGCGGTTGCCGGTGTTGATATAGCAAACCCACTAGATGTTGCCAATGAAATTTGGGAATCATCTGGTCTGGTATTTCTCAGGGGCTCCATCTATGCCCCATTTCTTTCCTCAAAGTCTGCCAAGAGTTTTGCACCCTTGGACTTTCTTCTCTCAGAGAAGAACAGTATAATTGCATTTACACTTCAAGAACTGGGGCAACACTCTCAGCATGTCGATCATCGGCAGCTGGGCCCGACGACATTCTATTCGTATGCTACAAAATTTACATCAGTCAGCCCTTGCAGTCCTATTATGCCTTTACAATCTTATTTTTGGGCACAAGGAGTTCTTCCACAGCTGTGGAAATCCGCCATTTTTTCTCCTTTTCCGCAAACCAGGCACTACGGAAAATGAAACCTCCCACTACGTCCCATTGCTCTTACCAGTGCAGTTTGCAAAGTAATGGAACGCCTAGTAAATAGACATTTAGTGTGGTATTTAGAGACACACAACAGTCTCTCCCACTCGTCAATGTGGCTTTCGAAGGACGTTCTACCATAGACCCCTTTACTACGCTTGGATACGAAATGTTCGTAATGCCTTTGCGAATAACCACTCAGTTATTGCCATATTTTTTGACCTTGAGAAGGCATATGACACAACTTGGAGGTATAATATTTTAGCCCAAGCCCACTCCTTAGGCCTTCGAGGCAATCTACCATCCTTCCTTAAGAACTTTTTAACTGACAGGCATTTCCGTGTTCGGGTTAATAATGTGCCCCTCCCCGGACTTTATCCAAGCTGAAGGTGTCCCCCAGGGATGTGTTCTGAGCACAACACTTTTTCTCCTTGCTATTAATGATTTGGCCTCTAGTCTTCCATCAAATATTTGGTCATCACTCTGTTGATGACTTCGCTATTGCCTGTGCAGGCGCTGACTGTCACCTCATTACAGTTTCTCTCCAACATGCAGTCGACCGTGTTTCCAATTGGGCCACCACACGTGGGTTTAAATTTTCCAGCACTAAAACCCACCAAATTACTTTCACTAGACGCTCTGTCATCTCCGATCATCCTTTGTACCTCTATGGCTCCCGTATCCCTGAACGTGATAGTCAAGTTTCTGGGCCTCCTCTTTGATCGTAGGTTATCCTGGAAACCTCACATTACCTCTCTGAAGGCAACTTGTCACAGCCGGCTGAACCTTCTTAAAACCCTTGCTCATCTTTCATGGGGAGCTGATCGTCGAACCCTCCTTCGCCTACATTCCACCCTTATTTTATCGAAACTTGATTATGGTGACCAGATCTATTCAGCGGCATCTCCTGCTACTCTCTCTAGCCTTAACCCCATTCATCACCAAGGATTACGTTTATGCCTTGGTGCTTTTCGCTCTTCCCCTGTCGAGAGCCTCTATGCAGAAGCAAACGTTCCATCCTTATCCGATCGCCGTGATGCCCATTGCCTGTGCTACTATGTACGCTCTCATGATCTCCGCAATCCTTCCATTTATGGAATGATCACTGATATTAGTAGACATTCTTTATTTGTTCGCCGCCCCTGTTTACTCCGTCCCTTCTCTCTTCGCCTTCATTCGCTCTTGTCTTCTCTTCAACTACCACCTTTCTATGTACATGTAGCATCTCACTTTTCCCTACCCCCCTGGGAAGTTCCAGCTGTTCGAGTCTGTTCTTTCTCCCTCCCTTGCTCGAAAGCCCAACTGTCTACGGTCACTTCCCGCTCTCTTTTTCTTGACCACTTTCACTCTCATTCTCATGCCATTGCTGTGTACATAGATGGCTCTAAGTCTTCTGACGGCGTAGGATTCGCAGCAGTGTTTCCGGACAGCGTCGTACAAGGGCATTTACTATCTTCGGCTAGTATTTTTACTGCTGAATTATATGCCATCCTTACAGCACTTATCCGTATTGCATCTATGCCTGTGTCATCATTTGTGGTTGTCTCAGACTCCCTTAGTGCTTTACAGGCTATACAAAAATTTGATACACCTCACCCCTTAGTCCTCCGTATCCAACTTTGGCTACGCCGCATCTTTACCAAGCATAAAGATATTGTTTTTTGTTGGGTCCCTGGTCATGTTGATGTACAGGGCAATGAACAGGCAGACACTGCTGCACGGTCAGCAGTACATGACCTACCAGTTTCTTATAGAGGTATTCCATTTACGGACTATTTTACTGCAATATCTTCCCACCTTCACACCCGTTGGCAACAACGTTGGTCTACTATGCTCGGCAACAAACTTCAATCTATTAAACCGAGTGTAGGTTACTGGCCGTCTTCTTATCACCAGTGTCGAGGTTGGGAGACTACTCTCTCCCGTCTTTGCATTGGCCATACTCGTCTTACTCATGGATATCTCATGGAGAGGCGTCTTGCTCCTCTCTGTGAGAATTGCCAAGCTCCATTATCAGTCAGCCACATTCTGTTGGACTGCCCACTTTATCAACGAGCACGCAGAATTTACCTCTGTCGTCGTCTTCGCTCCGCTGCTCTCTCTTTACCTTCCCTTCTCGCTGATGGACCCACCTTTCATCCGGACTCTCTCATTGACTTTTTGACAACAACTGACTTACTTCACAAATTCTGATACCTTCAGCCCTTTCTACTTCAATCTCTTGCTACCCTCTACCCCCGTACTATCCCCTGCCCCGCTGTTTTCTGTAACCTGCTGATCATCCCTCCTCCCTTCTGCCATCCAATTCCCTCGCTTCCTTCCCTACCCTGCAGCGCTGTATAGCCCTTGTGGCTTAGCGCTTCTTTTTGATTATAATAATAATAATAATTTGTTTGTCTTAAGAGCTTCACTCTTAGGGCTGTACACTTGTGTTTATTCCTGCCTTGCTTGAAATTTAACATCACTTTTTAATTCTCACCATTTCTTTTAAAGGCTGTATGCCTATCGTGTGAGTGATTAAGCGAGCAGGTTGTAACTGTATTTATTTCTTAATTGCAGCCTTGACTTGTCGGCGTGGGTCATCTGACACGAGCGAGGTGAAGATAAGGACAGCAGGGATATGGCAAAGATCTATTGAGCCAACCGCATATACCTACGATCCAACTGCCCCCTTTCACTCGTAACCAATCACCCTAGCCAGCTACACACCCAGCTTGAATACGTGTCTTGTCAGGCTACTCAACACTGGTGATAAGAGTGGCTATCCAACATTTTCAGCACTGGTGATCAGAGGATAAGTTCACCTTGGCAGAATTGTGTTGTGGAAACAGTCTTGTGTCCCGAACAACATAGACCCCCCTCTTCAACAACGGCTTCTGATCTTCAAAGCGCAGTGTCAACAACACTGACACACCCTTCTACAACTACATTTGTACAGATTAGCTTTGGATTCCCTTATTACTTTTATATTTTATTTTTCATATTTCTTTAACCCTTAAACAGTCCAAATATATCTGTGTTCACTTGCGCAGCGCCCTGAATATTTTGACAAAAAAAAAAAAAAAAGATTTTATAGAAATAAAAAAAAAAGAGCACAAGGTAGTAAGTGGTCCCAAATTTTTTTTAATATGGTGCACACCGAGTGTTAAGACCCATTCTATACTTACCAAGCATCTCAGGGCAATTTTGCCAAATTTGGAGGCAGGAAAATTAAAACGTATATGTACGTTTGGGGCGCTACGCGTAAGAACGTATATATACATTTGGACTTTAGGGGTTAAAATAGGATTAATTCTCATGTTTAATTGTTTTACATTTATGCCTGAAATCATGTAATAAAAATGTTTATCTTCTCATGTTATGTTTTCCATTTATTTACATAAGGAGGAGCCAGCATTTTCAATTCTATCATGCATCTGAAGACCAATGTGAGATGGAATCCACAGAAAGTGCGCTGTGACTCCACTGTCCACAATCCTACCATACCTGTGTCTGGTTTCTGACAAGCATGCAACAATATATACTTAATGAGTTGAGTGCATTTAAATTAGTGTCTAACTTGCGTAGATACATGGATGCATTTGAGTACAAGAGTATGGCAAATAGTTCTGTTTGAAGGGTAGAGGCCCAGTTATTAATGTATACTCCAATTTCTTTGAGAGCCATCACTCTGTATGACAACAGCAGCACTGCCAGCTCCACCTGTGGATTGGTGAACAGAACCATGAACATAATTTGTGTAAGGGTGTGCTTTGGTTGTGATTTAAGAAATATTTTGGGGGGAAATGGAAAGATGGTAGTTTGGAATGGGGTAATATCCCCATTCAAACATAGATCATATATCTGGTTCATGTGGAGGTTGGTTCCAGTTTTTTCGATCCATCTGAAGGAGTGTTCACCAGTGCTGAGGAAAATTTGGAGGGCTTCTGTGCAAGGGTTTGAATGGGCTTAAGCATATTGACCCCAGTGAGGATATTTTCAGTAACGATCTCGGATGCTCGGAATATCAAGTTCTTTCTGCATATTTAAAATTTTGGCAGTACAAGGGCATCATGGAATGATCCTCATTGCTTCATTCTGCAGTTTTTCCAGCCCTCCAAGCTTCCAGTCAGATACTAGAGCAAGTAGTGGCACGGCATAATCATCCAATGATCTAATATAAGCAAGATGCATCATTTCCACAATTTTAACATTAGCACCATACCTGGGATGAAAACAACTCTCAGCCTTCCTTTGTATTGGCGACAAAGTCTTGCTACAACAGGTCCAACAGTCCAAGTAGTGGGACCTGAAAGCCTAGATACCTGTATCTGGTTATATATTCTAGAAGAGACCCATCATGCAACTGGATCTGGCAAATTTTGCCTCTGTCAAGGTAGACACCTGTTGAATATCTTTGTTTTATCAGTAGAGATAATGAACCCCAGGTCCTGATATGAGGCTAGTACACAGTTAAGGATGTTTTGGGAGTTGGAGAATCTGGTGATGAGAATCATATCAGCAAAACTAATCATATAATGATGGAGCTGGCTAGCATTAAGTAAAGCATTAATTAGAATATTGAATAGGGTGGGACTGAGCACACCTCCCTGTGGGGTTCCTAATTCAAAAACTTTAATTACACTTCTGTGGCCCTGGAACAACACAAAGACTTTGTTGGACAGGTAGCCTTTAATCCAGCAGAGAAGCCATCCTGCTACATCCATTCTGGCAAGTTCTCTAATGGCTGCATCAAAAGCAGATTTAAGGTTGTGTATTAGCTGTCAGTGTGCAGGGTGAGAGGTGGTTATGCAATGATGCACACTCCTTCCATGCATTATACCATGCAACAGGGGAGACAAAAATTGATTCTGTGCATGAGACAATTAAGAATCATCTTCTCAAATGTTTTACACAAGTAGCTAGTAAGAGGTATTGGGCAAAATGCATTTTGTTGATTGAGCTTGGGAATGGGAATGATGAGGCTGTTCATCCAAGATTTAGGGAGCTCCCCTGTTATATAGCTCATGGTACTTGGCATAACAGTCTGAGTATGGTGTAAGTAATAGCATCCTCCCCTTAGTGCTGCAACAAGTTTGAAGTTAGTGAAAGGAATGTTAGTCATCTTGCTGAGCATAAAACAAACAAGTCTCCCTTGCATCATATTTGTCCATTAATTTTGCCTGTGTGGTACTGGGAAGATTGTCATAGCTTGATGTAGCAGCCCAAGTACTGACTAACCATTCACCCTATCTAAGGAATGAGGGTGCACAATCTGACCAATTTTAGTACCCTTAATTCTATTTGTCCCTCCATGCCTGGCTAAGTGGGGTGTGAGCATTGGGAACACCGACAAATTTTCCCAGTCTGTTTGCCGAAGCTCTGTCATACGCTTCCTGGCAGCAACAAGAGCAGTTTGAAAGAGCTTCAGCATTTCAGGGGTATGATACTTTCTATAGGCTAGGCCTAGTCTGCGAGCAGTACGTTTCAATGTCCAACGTTTGGGATCATTTTAATAGGTATGATTTTTATAGGAGGTATGATTATTATGGAAGTTAGTTGGGTTTGGAGTACCAGGAGGTGTCAGTGGCAGTTCTAAGTAGTTCTGAATACTGCTCACAAGGTCATTGTTAAAGGTTTCAACAGAGGAACACTCATAGGAATTATACCAGTCTGTCACATGTGTGACAAAGTCATCATGCTGATCAGGGGGAACATGAAAGCGTTTCCATTTGAATATCCCACCAGTGAGGATAGTATTACCAATATCCAGAGAGGTTAGTCTTGGGAAATGATCTGATGATATATTTGTTACAATGAAGACTCAACTGGCAGAAGTATTGTTGAAGTCAAGACACAGATCAAGGATGTCTCCATAGATATGTGTGGGTTCAAGGTCACCTACAATTTGCACATTATTATGACTTATTTAAGAGTGACAACAGTTGTTTACCATTACAATTACCAAATTGAGTTTCCAATGCTTTTGTGTCTTGCATTTAAATCTCCAATAATAAGTGGAAGTTCAGACTGAGCACAAGTTGGGCACTCCAAATAATTAAACTTACCAGCAGGAACATACAAGTTAAATGTGTTGAAAGCAGAGTTCCAAATATAAATCCTAATGCCATGGTACTGAAGCCCTTTCATTTTTTTATGTGCAAGAAGTTGATGGGGAAGTAATTTTTTAATATATAAAACAAGAGTTGGTAGATTTGAGGTTATATGTAAAAAATGAGGGCAGTTTAGGGGGTTGGGATTGACCCATGAGACCCAATTCTGCCACGTATGTATGTATAGCTATCCACTGTATACAATACAACAGCCACATGTGGCATGTGAAGAGTACGTTATATTTTATTTGACGTAAGTCACACACCCATTTTGGCATGACCTCTCGACCAGTGAACTAGCAATTATGAGTTTAGTGGGTATGGGGCCTCACTGTTATGCTATATGATAGTTCAGCACCCAGCCACATGAAAGCCTGCCAATTCTGTGAAGTGATGTCTACAACTAGTGGAGCAGAATTGGCAGATTGTCCACACTTCTGGTCTAAGACACTGTTCTTTCACTGGCTCTTGCTCATACATACCATTAATAATAATAATAATAATAATTTTTGTATTTTTTATTAACACATCGGCTGTCTCCCACCAAGGCAGGGTGGCCCAAAAAAGAAAAACCTTAATCATTCACTCCATCACTGCCTTGCCAGAGGTGTGCTCACACTAGTTATAAAATTGCAACATTAACACCCCCCCCTTTAGAGTGCAGGCTCTGTACTTCCCATCTCCAGGACTCGAGTCTGGCCTGCAGATACAGTAAATGTATAATGTATACAAGCCTAGCTGACATCAATGACATACTGCTATACAGAAAGCCCCTTGTTATGCAGAGCATTTCGGGTAAATTAGGTCACTTTTGTCCTTAGGATGCGACCCACACCAGTTGGCTAACACCCAGGTACCTATTTTACTGATAGGTGAACAGGGAAACATGTCCTCAGGTTTCCACTCGTCCTGGGGATTGAAACAGACCTCAGTGTGCAAGCCGAGTGCACTAGCATTTGAGCTACAGGACACCACACTGTAAATACTCTCTCTACATTTGCACATAGCTTTATGTATATAGTATATTCTGTGGTGAAGGAATACATAGATTAAGAAATTTATTTCTGGTGGTTTGCCTTTTCCCTGCACTGCCTAGTTGAGAGTTTGCTGATTTATTTATGATAGGTGCAACAGGCCTAAACTACCACTTGTGTTTGTGATACTGCACTAACAATGTCATCTGCATATTGTATACAAAACATTTGTACACAATGTAAACACATGCACATTCAAATACTTCATGTTACTACTGTTCTAACGTGTATACATATATACCAGCACTGGTTATGTTCCTAGAAATGTTGCAGTCTGTGAAAGTTCCTGAAACATGGCTCCATACACAATGATGGTTTACTCCCTAAACAAACCCAATCTGCATATCACATTTGTCCACCAAGTGCATATTGGTGGTGTAATCAATGACAGCAGCTGGTCTCACAATAGATTCATTGGTGTCTGTATTCAGCTTATTATTAAATTATTATTACTTTTATCAATGCTCATGATTTTTTAGTATAGTACTACAGTAACTACAGTAGAATTGAGTTACTATAGTGCAGTATTTGCATGAACAAAAATACATGGCATAGTCATACTCACAAGACCACAAAGCAAGGTACCAATCTTCAAATATCAGTACTTTTGTTACTTAATTTTATGATTAAGCTGTTAAATCTAAGTAATTAATGCACTGTACATGAAACTGACATTAAATCACAGTTACACAGAAGATAGTACTGTACTGTAATCTACAATTTTGGATATACTGTACTATATAAGTTAGTGTTTAGTTCTGATTAATATAGTAATAATAATGTACTGTATAATGAAACAAAGCAAATTCTAGTAAAGGAGTCATTTTTATTATCACTTCATTACCAAGATGGATGACCCCAAACTTATGAAAGCTTGAGTTACAATCATCTGCACTAAAGAACATATTACATACATTTCTTTGGTTGTTAATTTACAGCTATAAATGTGTGCCCCTTAAGGAAGGTTCCTTGACGTTGGTGAGGGGCTCTTGATTTAGGGAATTGGATCTGTGCTCCAGTTCCCCGAATTAAGCCTGAATGCCTTCCACATCCCCCCCCCCAGGCGCTGTATAATCCTCCGGGTTTAGCGCGTCCCCTTGATTATAATAATATAAATGTGTGAAACATACCATCATTTGTACATTACTTTCTATTGTAAAACAAGATCCACATTACAATGAGCCTGTGTGTTCAAACACCAGTAATGGAACACATTCATAGATTGGGAACCCCTACTCATACACATATGTAAAACATAATTATCAGCAGAGATGGTGGACAAAAATATTTAATGCATTATATTACCACAACTATTTCTTATTGTTTAATACCCTTAATTTCTGGGAAGTTATCATTGCATATATGGCACTCACATTCTGCAATGTTATCATAAACGGCAGAGTAGGTGTCTCCTGAGTCACACAGCAACTCCACTTTTATCTTGTCAAATCTTGAGGGTTTACAACAGTAACATGAAGATACGTGCTCTGCTTGCTTTCCTGAAACACGAACAAAATACAATATTTAATAGCGATTTGATATGCATGGGCATTTTTTGTGGGAAGAAGTGTACCTAAAAAAAAAAAAAAAAGCTTACTGACACAGTATAGTTTAGCTCAATGTAAGGATCAGCTTATTTATGTGGCTATTGTATCTCTGTCTCTACATTATAATTTAATATACAATACTTATTAGCTGTAATTATATATATATATTTTTTTTAAGCGCTGTATAGCCCTTGTGGCTTAGCGCTTCTTTTTGATTATAATAATAATAATAATATATTTTTTAAGTGTATTCAGTATGAATCTTACTGCTCATCTGAACTCTTAAGATATCAACTCTTTCAGTGGCTGTCACATAGAACTACATCACTGATGTCAGGGTCCCACACATAGTTCTACGTCATGACCTCAGGTCACTTAGATAGGCTGCGAATCATAAATTTTGGCCTACACATAAGAGAATGGGTCCATGCAGCGAGTGTGTGAAGTATATAAAAAATCCTGCTTCACGGTGCATGATGGGAAAAGCAAAACTGACCACGTGTATGATTTAAAATGATGACTTTGAGGTGTTTTCTAGGATAGATTATATTGGCTGTTTCTCGGTATCATTTGATAGAATGGAAGACATTTATTATTATTAACAACACACTGGCCGATTCCCACCAAGGCAGGGTGGCCCGAAAAAGAAAAACTTTCACCATCATTCACTCCATCACTGTCTTGCCAGAAGGGTGCTTTACACTACAGTTTTTAAACTGCAACATTAACACCCCTCCTCCAGAGTGCAGGCACTGTACTTCCCATCTCCAGGACTCAAGTCCGGCCTGCCAGTTTCCCTGAATCCCTTCATAAATGTTACTTTGCTCACACTCCAACAGCACGTCAAGTATTAAAAACCATCTGTCTCCATTCACTCCTATCAAACACGCTCACGCATGCCCGCTGGAAGTCCAAGCCCCTCGCACACAAAACCTCCTTTACCCCCTCCCTCCAACCTTTCCTAGGCCGACCCCTACCCTGCCTTCCTTCCACTACAGACTGATACACTCTTGAAGTCATTCTGTTTCGCTCCATTCTCTCTACATGTCCGAACCACCTCAACAACCCTTCCTCAGCCCTCTGGACAACAGTTTTGGTAATCCCGCACCTCCTCCTAACTCCCAAACTACGAATTCTCTGCATTATATTCACACCACACATTGCCCTCAGACATGACATCTCCACTGCCTCCAGCCTTCTCCTCGCTGCAACATTCATCACCCATGCTTCACACACATATAAGAGCATTGGTAAAACTATACTCTCATACATTCCCCTCTTTGCCTCCAAGGACAAAGTTCTTTGTCTCCACAGACTCCTAAGTGCACTGCTCACCCTTTTCCCCTCATCAATTTTATGATTCCTGTATAGTTCTTGTGGCTTAGCGCTTCTTTTTTGATTATAATAATAAAATAATAATTCTATGATTCACCTCATCTTTCATAGACCCATCCGCTGACACGTATACTCCCAAATATATGAATACATTCACCTCCTCCATACTCTCTCCCTCCAATCTGATATCCAATCTTTCATCACCTAATCTTTTTATCCTCATAACCTTACTCTTTCCTGTATTCACTTTTAATTTTCTTCTTTTGCATACCCTACCAAATTCATCCACCAACCTCTGTAACTTCTCTTCAGAATCTCCCAAGAGCACAGTGCCATCAGCAAAGAGCAACTGTGACAACTCCCACTTTATGTGTGATTCTTTATCTTTTAACTCCACACCTCTTGCCAAGACCCTCGCATTACTTCTCTTACAACCCCATCTATAAATATATTAAACAACCACGGTGACATCACACATCCTTGTCTAAGGCCTACTTTTACTGGGAAATAATCTCCCTCTTTCCTACATACTCTAACTTGAGCCTCACTATCCTCGTAAAAACTCTTCACTGCTTTCAGTAACCTACCTCCTACACCATACACCTGCAACATCTGCCACATTGCCCCCTATCCACCCTGTCATACGCCTTTTCCAAATCCATAAATGCCACAAAAACCTCTTTAGCCTTATCTAAATACTGTTCACTTAAATGTTTCACTGTAAACACCTGGTCCACACACCCCCTACCTTTCCTAAAGCCTCCTTGTTCATCTGCTATCCTATTCTCCGTCTTACTCTTAATTCTTTCAATAATAACTCTACCATACACTTTACCAGGTATACTCAACAGACTTATCCCCCTATAATTTTTGCACTCTCTTTTGTCCCCTTTGCCTTTATACAAAGGAACTATGCATGCTCTCTGCCAATCCCTAGGTACCTTACCCTCTTCCATACATTTATTAAATAATTGCACCAACCACTCCAAAACTATATCCCCACCTGCTTTTAACATTTCTATCTTCATCCCATCAATCCCGGCTGCCTTACCCCCTTTCATTTTACCTACTGCCTCACGAACTTCCCCCACACTCACAACTGGCTCTTCCTCACTCCTACAAGATGTTATTCCTCCTTGTCCTATACACGAAATCACAGCTTCCCTATCTTCTTCAGCATTTAACAATTCCTCAAAATATTCCCTCCATCTTCCCAATACCTCCAAATCTCCATTTAATAACTCTCCTCTCCTATTTTTAACTGACAAATCCATTTGTTTTCTAGGCTTCCTTAACTTGTTAATCTCACTCCAAAACTTTTTCTTATTTTCAACAAAATTTGTTGATAACATCTCACCCACTCTCTCATTTGCTCTCTTTTTACATTGCTTCACCACTCTCTTAACCTCTCTTTTTTTTCTCCATATACTCTTCTCTCCTTGCATCACTTCTACTTTGTAAAAACTAATCATATGCTAACTTTTTCTCCCTTGCTACTCTCTTTACATCATCATTCCACTAATCGCTCCTCTTCCCTCCCGCACCCACTTTCCTGTAACCACAAACTTCTGCTGAACACTCTAACACTACATTTTTAAACCTACCACATACCTCTTCGACCCCATTGCCTATGCTCTCATTAGCCCATCTATCCTCCAATAGCTGTTTATATCATTCCCTAACTGCCTCCTCTTTTAGTTTATAAACCTTCACCTCTCTCTTCCCTGATGCTTCTATTCTCCTTGTATCCCATCTACCTTTTACTCTCAGTGTAGCTACAACTAGAAAGTGATCTGATATATCTGTGGCCCCTCTATAAACATGTACATCCTGAAGTCTAATTAACAGTCTTTTATCTACCAATACATAATCCAACAAATTACTGTCATTTCACCCTACATCATATCTTGTATACTTATTTATCCTCTTTTTCTTAAAATATGTATTATCTATAACTAAACCTCTTTCTATACAAAGTTCAATCAAAGGGCTCCCATTATCATTTACACCTGGCACCCAAAACTTACCTACCACACCCTCTCTAAAAGTTTCTCCTACTTTAGCATTCAGGTCCCCTACCACAATTACTATCTCGCTTGGTTTGAAGGTTCCTATACATTCACTTAACATCTCCCAAAATCTCTCTCTCTGCTCTACATTCCTCTCTTCTCCAGGTGCATACACGCTTATTATGACCCACTTTTCGCATCCAACCTTTACTTTAATCCACATAATCCTTGAATTTATACATTCATATTCTCTTTTCTCCTTCCATAACTGATCCTTCAACATTACTGCTACCCCCTTCCTTAGCTCTAACTCTCTCAGATACTCCAGACTTAATCCCATTTATTTCCCCCCACTGAAACTCCCCTACCCCTTTCAGCTTCGTTTCGCTTAGGGCCAGGACATCCAGCTTCTTTTCATTCATAACATCAGCAATCTGTTTCTTGTCATCCGCACTACATCCACGCACATTCAAGCATCCCAGTTTTATAAAGTTTTTCTTCTTCTCTTTTTTAGTAATTGTCTACAGGAGAAGGGGTTACTAGCCCATCGCTCCCGGCATTTTAGTCGCCTCATACGACACGCATGGCTTACAGAGGAAAGATTCTTTTCCACTTCCCCATGGACAATAGAAGAAATAAAGAAGAAGAGCTATTTAGAAAAAGGAGAAAAACCTAGATGTATGTATATATATATATGCATGTGCGTGTCTGTGAAGTGTGACCAAAGTGTAAGTAGGAGTAGCAAGATATCCCTGTTATCTAGCATGTTTATGAGACAGAAAAAGACACCAGCAATCCTACCATCATGCAAAACAGTTACAGGTTTCTGTTTCACAGTCATCTGGCAGGACGGTAGTACTTCCCTGGGTGGTTGCTGTCTACCAACCTACTACTTACATATAGTACTACTGAAATAGAGATGATTTTGGTTCGTTTCTGGACAGGAAGTACTGTATCTTGAAAATGGGCTCAAAATAGCAGAAATATTATTTTTTTCTGATTTTCCTGAGGATATACATGTATTTTATTATACAGGAAATAAGTATAATAAATTTTCCTGAGGTTATATTTTATTATACAGGAAATATAATAAATTTTCTATTTTTGTGTGATTATGAATTCAAAACAGAAGGCAAGTGTAATATAGGAGAGGACGAGGGACATGATTAATGAACGGAGGAAATGTTGTTTTAGCACCAGAAATGTTTACATTATTTTGCACTATGTATTTTTAAATTGTTATTTTTTGTAATTTTTTGTAAAATTGGCCAAATTACTAACTTTGTGCACTTAACAGGGTAGCTGCAATAGATGACTGGTTTCTTATGCTCAGTCAATAGGACGGAAGACATACTAGTGAAACGGCTAAGAATTTGGTCAAATGAGCCAATGAAATAGACTTAACCCTTTCAGGGTTTCCGACGTACTAGTATGCATAAATTCTAGCCCCTTTAAATCAAGCGGGAAGAGGCTGGTAGGCCTAGATGTGAGAGAATGGGTCTGCGTGGTAGGAAAAAATTCGGGGACCCAGTGGTGCATTGTGGGAACACCATTTTAGTACACCTTGTTCACCATGCCTCGCGGTAAGAAACCCCTCGGCAAATTGGG